GGGGGGGGGAGACGGGCATGAGGAACAATGATAAGAATTTTGCGTCACTTTAACGGAAATGGAGACTACGTAATATTTCACTGGTAATGGTGAAGATGAAGCCTTTTAGATTTTTTAATCATTAAACTCTTTTTAGCGCTTTAAAAAACACGAAAAAAACAAGAGATTTTATTTTTTTTTTCAACAATTTTGGGTAGCATATGACTTGGTGGTTCAGTTGAAATTCCCAGTTTTATTTATTTATTTATTTATTTATTTATTTGAGGTTATAGATCTTAATTTTCTTATTGGTGTTGGGCAGGATATACCTTACTGTTAAAATTTCAATGATTTTTTTTTCTTTTTGCTATATTAAGGTGTTAAGTGCATATTATACGCCTTTATGCTGAACCTAACATACATACACACATGCCAAACACACACCCACACTTACACCATGGTCTCATATTTTCCCCAGAGAATGCAGGACTATGAACCAGGTGGACATCACATTACAGTTGATCTTGGCAAGGATGAGGAAGACGAGGATGAGGAGGATAAAGAGGAAAGCAGACGAACACACGGTGCATCTGTGGGCGGTGGAGCAAGTGCTTTGCCACCAAGGGTAGGCATGCTGTTCAATTAAACTTTCATTCATTCTTTATAATACATGTATTAGGCCCTCTATGAAAACTGATAAAGACTAATTAATAAATTCTATCAATATTTCAAAGCATTGAGTGTGATGTTCATGATCTAAAAGTTGTAAAAAACTTGTTATCTACAATTTAAAGTCTTATTTTCAAACCTTATCCAGTAGCATTTATAGTCCGAGGCCCACTTTGGGGATCACTTTTTGTATGTGATTAATGTCTTTGATTCCTTATGTTGTTGTAAGGTGAGCCAAAATGTTTGGATTTTGCCTGACAGCTCATTTTTAGTGTTGGGCTTCATATTGTGCCGAATGCGGTGCTTCATTTCTGCCCACGTTAGTTCTATCGGGTTATGGTGCAGACTCTCCGATGGAGCCCAGAACCAGTTCACACCGATGTCCATGATAAGTTGCATGGCAAAGCCACTTATGTGCATGGGTGCATCGTCCTGCACAAATGATGATCGATCAATGTCCCATTGGCAACCTAAAAAAATGAGAGCAAGTCATGAAACATTGCTGAAATATATATAGTATATACCCCCTCCTCCTCTTCACCCCAAGAGACCCTCCTTGACCCAAGGAACCCTGAATGTCTGCGGACTTTACAGACAGACAGACTGTAAGGCAGGAAACTTTTAATCATTTCCATATCCTTTCAGTTTAGTCTGATATTTGCTTAGGCCTACAGCTCACATACCATCAATTTTCACATAAAATCTGTCCTTTTTCAGTCTGCAATCTCAAAGGGCATGACCACCGAAGATCCTGTCATCTTGAAAGCACAGTTGAGGGAACGCACCAACAGAGTAGAAATCCTATCACAGGTAATTGTGGAGCGCCCTGAGATACACAGCACAGAATCACAGACACATACACACACACGTATCAGGGTGAAGGAGAAATTTATGTGTAATTTTTTGTTTGATACGTAATGGGGGTTCAGGCTAAATTGCAGTCAGGAATTTTATCAGCACATATTTTTAGACTTTCCTTCAAATGTTTTTTTGTATTCGAATCACAAAACCCAACAGTTAATATTTTATTAAACTTCTTTAAATGATTTTAAACATTCATTTTATCTAAATGGGCTATTTTAAAGTGTTACTGCAACATAAAAGCCTTGTAGAAATATTTTAATTTTAGCACTTTTTGCCATTACAAAATGCAACTTAAATTCCTTTTTGCCTTACACAATTTCTAATTGAAAATAAAATTGGCATAATTTTGATATTCTTTCTATACTGAGTTGCAATTGATCACCTTGTTATTTTTGTTGTGGTTAACAGGAAAATCAAGAATTCAAGGAAAAACTTGAAGAGTTGGAGCAGGCATTACTTGACAAGGTACTATTCAAGATTTATATACGTATAACTGAGCTAGGGAAATTGGCATAATCAAGTTTTTTCTTTTTTTTTTTTTTTTTGCCATTATCAGATATATTGTACTAAAAATTTCAAATGTTAATTATCAGAGAATGTCCATGTTTACTTGGGGTGCTTTCCCAGAGATTTAGATCGATCTAAAGATTAAGTTTTAGATCGACCTAACTCCCTGGGGGTTCAGGCTAAATTGCAGTCAGCCGAGCGGACACCATAGTTAATTACCCCCTTACAGCTTTTAGTAGGCGGGACAGACGCTTAAGCCGGCCAAGCTGACAGTAATCTAGTGAGACTCCCCACAGGGATAGATCAATCTAAAAATCTATGGAAATGGGGTGTACGGATGCTAACCTTTAATTGATTAATTAATTGTTTCAGGAGTGTGAAGTGGATGCCTTAGAGGTAGATAAAGCCAATCTAATGAAACAGATGAAGAAAGCTAACTTCAGGCCAGACGTCAGTTCTCTCTCGAATACCTCATTTAGGTGATAGATCTTTTGGATATAATTTATTTCTTTGCATTTGGAACTTATTAGAGTGCAGGATTTTGTCAGCAAAAAAAAAAAAAAAAAAAAAGAAAAAAAAAGGTAATACTGAAAGGGATAACATTTTTTATTATCAGGAGACAGGGATCTGTCACTTTCTTTGCATGTTTTGATGAAAACAGTACAGATACCTTGATCTTTTTTGAATTTCACACCCTGGGTAGTGTCTTGTTTTCTTTAAGGGAGCATTCCCAATGAAAGTAGCATTCTACATAGAACGCTCCAACTTTGCAGAACAAGATTATTTACTCCCCAAAAACATTTTTGTCTTGAACCCACTCTCTAACATGCAGGGTGGCAGAATGAAAATTTGTACAAGATTTTTTACAGATATTTCTTTTTCTAATCACTAGCTGTTCACACTTCTGTACCTTCTGTCTTTTCAGTGGGAGAGCCTCTGGCAGTGCTATAAAACTTGTCCAGAGAGAGGGATCCAAGACTCATAGGTGCAGCAAGTGTCACTGTCATCTTAAGCAGGGCAGTGAAAGCGAAACAGCTATGGTAAATATCGGCTGGGGCTTTTGTTACATTGGTGTGGTAGCCGTGATTGTGTGTGTGTGTGTGTGTGTGTGTGTGTGTGTGTGTGTGTGTGTGAGGGGGGGGGGGGGGGGCTGGGCAGACTGACTGGGATCATTTGAGGGGGGCTAGTCTCACCAATTTTTAAACCATGCTTTTTAATAAGTGCAAGAAATAAGAATAAAGAACTCTTTCCACTTCTTTAAGTCAAATGTATACTCATTATGTTAAACTCAAAAACTATTTCTGATTGGTTAACCCACTCACACCCTAGCACTAACACAAAATTGGCTTCCTGTGCATCATTTTACACTGTAATTAATTTTCAGTGAGTTTTTTTTTAAATTAAAATTAACTGCAAGTTTTTTTTTTCATAAAAGAAAGTCCTACTCACAGTTTTACAATATAGTTTAGACTTGTATAATCTTTTTAAATTAAAAAATAACATTTGTGTTTCATAAATGAGAATTATCAAACACAAACAAAAAAATTTTCATACCATTAGCTTATGGCCAACCTGGACATCAGTCTGCTGAAAGATTTCGGCTTGTGTTTGTTCATTTTCATTTATGATCCAACTACCTAGCTAATGGACATTTTTTAAAAACATTTTTGTTGTTTGTTTAAAATTTAGATGTCTAAAGCTGGTCTGACAAAGACAGCTATAGAGGAACTTCAACGTGAAAACAAGGAATACAGAGAAATGATAGAGCAACTCCAGGTGTCCTTAAACTCTGCCCAAGACGAGGTCCAACAACTGTGTCAAGAAAAATCCCAGGTACTTATACATGTACATTTTGTGTCCCAAGCCAATGGCACTGATTGTTATCTCGCACCTTGGACCACACTCACCTTTTATACAGTATATAGTAACTGACACAGAGACCGTTGGGAAAAGGTAAATTAATAGGACCTATAGCAACAAACAGACAAATTCGGGTCCAAAATGGCAGAATTTCATAAAATTCGAATGTCTGGAATTACTGAGCACCTCCCATTAAATGAATTTCGACCAAGACAATCCTTTATTTATTTTAATTAATTCCATTTGTACTAAATTCATGGCACATAACTGTATTTGGTCAGGTCCATCACCCACCCTGTAGCTATGCTTAGAGGTGCCTTTTTCATTCTGCTCAGAGGGTCATCATTATTTTTAAAATGAGACAAAAACTAGTAATAGTTTTAGCCCTGAGCAGCCCTGCATTATATTTGAAGTATCCCTATAGCTACATGTATTGTTTTATAGTTATTTGCATTTTAAAAAAAGGATGCAAAAAAAAAAAATCTTGTTTCTCTATGAGGAGTAATAAATGATAAGCCTTATGAAATTCCCTTTCATGGAATATTTTGCACATGAAATTTACAATATTATGACAATAGGCTCTGTTATAACAGTATATGCTAAAATAAAATTTGTTGATCATACATGGCATTTTGGTTGTTTAAGAAGAAAATGATCATAATCATTATACTACAGTGCTTTAATTATGTGCTTGTTTATTCTGTAAGTTATTATTATTTTAGATTTTCATCTTTTTTTAATTATTTCCTGGTCCCAAAAGGTCATTAAAAAGATTATTGAAATTTCCCTGGGTAATTTCAGGCAGATTAATGCCTAATTATATGCCTTTTTAAATGTTGCTTCAGTGGATAAAATCACCTACGGAAGAGAACCTGAGAATTCAGTCTTCTGAATCAGAAAAAGAACTTGGAGACAGTAGAAGAAACGTGCCAACAGTGGTTAGAAAAAATGTGTTTACTTTGATATTTATATGTAATGTTTCAAGTCAAACAATGAACATAAAGCCCTTATTAACCACCAAACTCTGATATGAGTACATGCTATTTTTTCTGTGGTTTTGAATAAAGCATATACCTTAATTGGTCATAAGAGAAAAATTTTCTATATGATTCCCAATGATTCTAACTTTTGTGCTATTGTAACATGTAACATGCATTTAATGCCCTCGAAGTGTCTTCATTTTAATTTTTGTGAATTGACGGACTTTCATTCATTCCCAACATTGTAATATCTTAGTATTAAAAAGAGTTGAAACAAAATAAAAACAAAGATTAAAACACTTTGTGATTTTTTTAAAATTTCTTTTCTCTTCAGTCAAAAATTGTGGTATCCCAACACTACAGTGACGAAGATGATGAGGAAGATCTTGTCGATGAAAACAACAGAATTGAAGCCTCCAGTGTTCACGGTCTTGGCGAAGTGTTTAGTCCGTCAGCGTTGAATGTGTTTGAGATGCTGGGAGTTCCGGGAAAAGAATGGAGTAACGAGGGTGGTAAACAGATGGAACGAGGCAGTGCTATCAGAGCTCAGATGTCCAGTAAGGTATGCAAAGACAGATTCAAGGGGTGGCATATCTAGGAGCATGTGTCATCCTCCCCTTACTTTTATCTCCTCCCCCCCCCACCCTCAAAAAAAAAAAAAAAAAAAGGTATAGACAACTAAAATGAGACAAATCCAAGGCATTTTTTTCCTTCTCTCTACAGATTCCAGTAAAATTGTCCTTGTCAACATTTTCAAAACATTTTTCAAAAAAGAAAAAAAAAGAAAAAAATAACAGCTTTGCCCTCCCTTCTACTTTGGTTTGACTAACAAGTCCAGAATGTGAAGCTTATAGAGGTTTATTTGGACTGGGAAGGGGGGGGGGGGGTACAAAATGCCTTTCCTTCCTCTTCCCAACCACCAGCCATACTATAGACTGTGGTAAAAAGTTTCAAATTAAGTTTCATGAAATGAACACATTGGTACAAAGTAAACGGACGGTATGAAACATATTTTATCAAAGCTGAATGTCTTAATTCCCTCCTGTTTCTGAAGGCTGTTTTATCCCTTTATTGGATGTTAAATTGATTTTATACACTATACATGTATATTGGATTCTCATGTTTAAAAGAGTATACACACACACACACACACGCACCATTGCACTGTACTGTTAGTATAAGTATGTAGACTAATAGAATGATTTAATTTATAAAATGTAACTTTATTTTATTTCCTTTAATCACTTTTAGGCTACCCAAACAGAGGAAAGCTGGGATTCTATCATAGAAGTAAGTGTTCTGAAAGAAATTTATTAAATGGAGGAAATTGCTTTCTTTTAGAAACATTTTAGAAAATGTGAATAATTTTCATATGTACAAAATAAATATTTCCAGTGCAGTGCCTTTTTGTATAAGCTTTGTTGTTTTTTTTATTATAACTTTAATTTTTTAATAACTTTTTATGACTGTCAGTGTCTGAATTAGACAAAATATTTTGCATAATTTTTCAAATCATAAATTTTAAAGAAATTAGGAAAGAAAAAGTGGACAGAACGAGATATCACAGCAGTTTCAACGGTGGTGCCATCTACGGTCAATGTTGCCAAAGCAATGATGTCACATGGTCGCCCAAATGTGATCCATCAAGTGGAACAAGATGCTGAGAATTATTTGCAAAATAATGTGAGGAAAATATCTTATCTGGTTATGTTAAATTTCATTTGCTGATTATTAAATTTATTTGTTGTTCTAAGCATAATTTTGCTTACTTAATCATTATACAGTATGTAGCTTACTTATTCTTTGTGTCAAAGTCACTTGCCTTAGTTGTATTTTGAGCTGCCCATTATTATTTGGCAGTGAGACATTTCTTTAGATATGATATGATGATTTTCAACATACTCATTGCCTCAACTTTCACAACTGTAAGAACCGAGGAATATTTTTTTATGTCCCAAGACAATGAACATTTACAGCCATTTTAATCATATTATTTCAAGTACTTAGCTTTGATTACACAACATGGACTATGTTTGTCCCCAGCTTGATGAGATGGTAAACGGCATGAACAATTTCTTTGAGAACTCGGCTCAGATGATGGGGGAACAGTTGGGCATGATGACCAAGGCCAATCACGACCTCAGGGCCAACCTTGACCCGCGGGAGGCCTTTAAACTGGACAGGGTGAGTCCAAGTGACATTAAAGGCTTCTGTCGTTTTTTTTACATATGACTTTCATAACGGGGGCGTCTCGATACTTCGAAGGTTCATTGGTCCGAAGGTTCATTGGTCCGAAAAGTGGTAACATTTTCATCGATTTTTTATTCAAGGGTTCATTGGTCCGAAGGTTCTATACTGAATATTCGGACCAATGAACCTTTGGACTATTGAACCTTCGGACTATTGCTACGGCCCCTTCATAACTAGCTAAGTAAACTGTAGTCAAAAAGGCAAAGAAAATGGGATGAATCTTTATTGCATTCATTTATGGACAGGTGTGGTGATTACTGAAAAATATACCAGTACATTTGTGTCAGGGTTAGTTTGTACACATACACATGAGTGCACACACACACACACACACACACACACACACACACACACACAGATACAGTTTTACTTGTTCAGAATTCATAGTCTAAAATCACATAGGAAAAAAAATGATAATAAAATTATGATTTAAATATAATTTTATTAACCTATAGTTCAAATTGAATTTATTGGGATGTACTAGTATATGAGTGTTGAAAATGATTTCCATTTTTATTGGACTAAAAAGTTTTAATTTTCATTCTTATTACTTTTAATGAATTTTGAAAAAATTTATTCTTACTTCCTCTAAATTGTTTTCTGTTCTTGTAATGTCATATTTAGCGCCTAGAGGCTATGATGAAGGACATGTTTGGGTCTGAGGCCTACAACATGGAACAAGAAATTCTCCAAAGAGGAAAGTAAGTGCTAAAATTTTTGATGTTTTAGTTTACATATTATTTAAATTAAATGATTTTAAAAAAGATGTGATTAGTATGTCTTCAAGACTGTGAAGTTCATGGGAGAGGAAACATACTTTGGGATAATATTTTCCAGATTTTTATACACAAATCTATGAAAGATTATAAGTTACCATATAAACTGTAATTTAACTTGAATTTTTTACTATGTACCATTCAGTGCTGGGGTACCATGAAATAACACATTTCCCAGCAAATTCAGTCTTTATCAGCTTAGACCCACCTAACAATAAAATATGGTACATAGGTGCTTGCAGGCCCAGGATAAATTATGCTTTTTTACAATAAATAGAAAACAGTGGACAAGGACAATTTCACTATTTACATGTCTGTAGGGCACAGGTATAAAAAATAATATTTTTGTCTCCATTTGCATATGATGCTTTTTTTATTGGGGTTGAAGGAGATCCTTATAGGGATACACATGCTCCTCTGAAATTAGTTAGGGGAGGGAGAGAGGGCCCACATACAATACCATTCCCTGTCTTCACCATTGGATGGGTCCTACTTTGAAAAGATAGAGATTTAACTGATAAAAATACATTAGCTTATGTGCCAATAGTACAAATAATGTTGTTGTATTTTAATAAACAAAGACTGAATTTTTGTCTTGTTTAGGAGGTTTGGAGGTTTCGATCGTACCAAGCAAGTGTTGGATTTCTCTGGTGAGTAATGTATATTTTTTATTTGGTTCATTGTTCAATAACAATGCAACTTCTATAATGTCATGTATCATTAAGTGTTTTATAAAAAAATACTTTTAATCTTCAAGGTTTATGAGAACCCTTAAGAAATAAAATTTGGAATCTCAAAGGAAATACGAAAAGATGCTACATGTATTATCATAATTAATTTTTTTTAATATAAATTGATTATTTAAATTATAACCTTTTATAAAAAATATTTTAAAACTATCCTTCTTAGACATAATGCGGGGAAAGGGCCTCACCCCTGAACAGATCAACCAGAAGATTCAGGAGCATTTCACACGTATCAGACAAATGACTATGGACATGATGTCACAGACATATCAGCTGATGAAATCAGGACTCAAATATCAGGTGAAGAATGTGCCCCTATTCCTCTTTCCCTCTCCCTAACTTTTTTTCCACTCCATCCCTTAAGTCTCCCTCCCTCCCTCCCTCTTTTACTCCTCTCTTTTTCTTTTTGTACCCCTTTCCCATCTCTCTGTCTCTCTCTCTCTCTCTCTCTCTCTCACACACACACACACACACACACAGCACATTTTTTCCATTTTGTAATGATGATTATACCTTGAATCATCTGAAAGACAAGTTTTTCTTTACCTTAAAATAGCTACAATAAATGTATTAAAAAATTATATGTTATTACATTTGTTGCACTTAAATTTGTTTTTAGGTTTTTCCTTAAAATTCCTATTCATTTGTTTATCTATAAATGCTACATGTATTTACTATTTCCTTAAAAATGATTTATTTAAAGACCCCTTTATCACCATAGCAACAAGAATATGAGGAGGTCTACAGGGTGGTCGAAGCCACAAAACCAGAAGTTCTGGAAACGCATCATGCAGGGCCAGTCAGAAGCAGACAGGCTGCCTTGAACGTAAGTTTGATTTTCTTTCTTTTTTTCTAAGAAAAAATGCTCATGCATCTCATTTTGCAATATGCTAGAAAATGATTAAATCTATGACAAAAACTGGCTGCTTGGATGCACCACAGGATAAGATATATATTGAAAGTAGATTAAGTAGATGCCTCATGTACAGAGATTTTTAATAGCACATTGTGCTGAAGAAGACTGATGTTACAACTAACACATTGTGCTAGACCACCCAAATGCAATGGTCAGGGTTTTGGCAGAAAGTGTTGGAGGCTGTGGGGTAGAGATACAGGTGCGACTCTCTCCTTGATAACAAAACAAGTACCGGTACACAAGATATTAAAAAATAAATAAATACTGCACATATGAAGAGTATGAAAACTTTTTAGACCAAAATTCTTTTTTTTTTTTTTTTCAGGAAAAAAATTAGTTTAAAAACAGATTCTTTGTAAGAATTTAATTTTCTGTTTTTTATTTTTAACCCCAGTGGCTCCTCCTTCTATGTTAAAAATACTGCTTACACATTGAGAAAATTTAACTTTTAGCACATGAATGGCCATTGAAATCTCCATTGATACAATTTTACATTCCTTTTTGTGTGAATTATTTGCTTATATTGTTGAGAGTAAATATGTTTATAGAACCAACTGCTTGGTAAATATTGTTCAGGCAAAAGTCTTGTTTAATTTGTCAAGTGCACAAAATTTCCATTTCAATACATTTGTTACTCCGCCTGCTCTATGTAATACTAGCTACATGTTTGTAGGATGTCATTTTTAAAATCATTATGATTATTCATTTTATTATGCTGGGGTAGTGTTAACACTCACCAATTTAGCCAAATGCTAAAACTGACTTAACTTGGCTAAACAAAATAGGGTTGGTTTGACTTGTTTTAGTCAGATTTAAACCATTATTGCAGAAGAAAGTGGTGAAAAAGTAGCAATTTGGCTAAGCAAAAAAAAAAAAAAAAATAAAAAAAAAAAAAAAAAAAAAAATTGCTAGTGCTACGTACCCCAGCATACTCACACATTTTTGTCTCATCAGAGCGAGAAACGGAGACATCAGATAGCAGGCCAATTATACTTTTGATCATGGTAAATAAGCAATTTTTTTTAAAAAGTTAATTACAAAGTTGGATTACACTGAAAACTTATTCAAATTTTCATTCACTAAATGAGTTTTCTCTGAAATTTTC